AAAAAAAAAAAAAAAAAAAAAAAAAAAAAAAAAAAAAAAAAAAAAAAAAAAAAAAAAAAAAAAAAAAAAAACTCTGAAGCCACAATTGCTTGATTTTGGTACTCATTTCATGCATATACAATTAGGTCGAAAAATTGAGGAAGATGGAGAACCAGAGCGTGAATCTAAGAAATCTGAGATAGAATCAGAAACGCGCGATAATGTAAAATCGGTCGATCCGTAATTTGCGAAGGAAATTTAGAGGCGATTACGTACCAGGTCAACAGTTTCGTTCTTGATTTCCTCGAGACTGAGTTTTCCGGCCATTTCCCCTTCTCCTACCTTCATCAATTATCATACAGTTAGTTCCGATACCGGCGGAAGCCTTTTTCAGTGAAATGGAGAGAGCGAAAAGTAGGGAAAAGCCATTGAAGATGAGAAGAACTTACCTAACTGATAGAAGAGCTTCACCAGAACTTATGCAGGTTGCGAATTCTTTTCTGCACTCTGCCTCCTTTTTATACCATACTACCGCCACTCACATTTTCCACTTCATTTTATTTTTATATTCTAATCATTTTAATTATATTTTTTTAACTCTCTATCTCTAACTTACTCGGGAATGCATCATAATTGGTTAAATATGAATAAATTGATATTACATTTGAATGAGAAGTAAAGACAGTATGATTAAAATAGATAAAAATAAAAATTATATTTATATCAACAATGTGACTCATTTAATAATAAATATATTTTAATATAGTTTTCAAATAATTATATTTTTAAAATTTGACACATAAAATTAATTATAATTGTTATGGATTAAATTTCTTGGTCATTTAATACAAGACTTTGGCATATATTTGAAAAGTCAAGGTTTGACTCTTCATTTTCTCTCTCATTTGTTAAAAATATCAGGATGTACTAAAAACATAAAAATATAGTTTTGTGCTGACTGAAAATACATGTCACATAAGCTTTGCATTAAATAATTTATATAAAAAGACTAAAATGGCTTATTCAATGTCCATGTATTAAAATGCGATACAAATTATTTACTCTAAAATAAATATAAAAATTAAAAATATATTTAGTTAGATTTTTTCATAAGTATTTTTATAGCTGAATCTAAAATACTTTTATTAATGTTAAAATTAATATAACGAACCGCTATTGAACAATATACAAGTCGACCGTTGTTGATGGAGATCACCGAATTGGTTATCAGTGGTGGCTATGTATAGTGACACTAATTAATTGAGGTGGGCAGGATGATTATGAGCGATTAGGGGTAGTGATAGTGTAAGGGTATTTTGGTCATTTTTATATATCATAAAAACTACCCACTATCAAATACTATATAGATCAACCGTGGTCGTCGATGGAGGTCTCCAAATTGGTTATCAGTGGTGGCTATGTGTAGCTAGTTAATGGAGGTGGACGGGATGATTTCAGGCAATGAATTGGGTATTTTTGTCATTTTATATCGTTAAAATCACTTATCTAAATATGGTATTAAAGTTTGTACGTATTGTTTTAAATCCTTTAATTCTTTAGAGGAACTGCAAAAAACAACCCGTTTGCAGACAATAAATAACACTTAAAAAGATATTTAAAATGTCATCAAAGGCATGGCGTGTCCATGCCTTTCCTTTTTAGGTTTGTCAACTTAACAAATAATAACTATTAAAAATTAAAAATTTAAATTAAATTTAAAAAACAAATTTTTAGTTTTTTTGAAGTAGGTAATGAAATAAAAAAAAATTATAAAGGAAAGATAATATTCATAAAATTAAATTTTAAAAACAAAAAAATAATCATAATTTAGGTTATAAATTCTTTGGCTTGACTTCCTTAAACGAGTAGATTTTTAAATGATATATTGTGGAAAATATTAGAGTTTAATTATTAAAATGTTTTGAAGAGAGTGATTAATTAATGTAAAACAGGGGAAAATGAGAATAAATTATAATAAAATTATTGAGTCTTAATTATTTGTTTTCCATTAATGAATCAATAATATTCAACCCCCTCTCATTATTTAATATTAATAACTAAATTTCATTAAATTTACTCATATTATAATTTCTACGAAAAATATTAAAAAAAATGAAAGTCAACGAAAAATGATTGGGAAGTTTAGAAGAATTAAATAAGATTATTAATTAGAAAGTTGACATTAAGAAATAATTAAGTTGTAATTGCTTCTCTAATCTCGTAAGAAGATAAGCATGAATGTCAATATTAATAGCGTTGATTTGACGTCAAATTTTCAAGATAAAATCATAATTTAATTAAAAGTATAGTACATAAATTAATTAAAATGCACAAGTAATGCCTTCGAGGGCATGCTAGTTGTTCTAAAGAGCTGAACGTGTCGTTTTATTTTTATTTAAATAAATTATTTGAATTTGAAAGTGAGGATAGAATTTTGAAATTCAAAATTTTCCTCTTTTTGTATTATTATATATATTTTTTCTAAACAAAACAGAAAAGTATGCCTATGACTTGAAGTCTTTGTTTCAATATTTTGATTTTGGGAAGAAAAAATATTTATAATATTCATTTTATTTTTATGATTTTGTTGCTTGAATATAATAATTTTATTGTTTTTTAAAAAATATTTTAACATTTCTCCATTCAACTTTTATTTATTTTTGCTTATTTCAATACAAATATATTATTTTATTGTAAACTATCACATCATTTAAAACCTATTTTAATATTTTAAAAAAATGATCAGTAACTAAAAATGACATTTTTTTTTAATTGTTCAAACGTTTCAATCCTAGCCATACCCAATTATTGCATATTTTTTAATTTCCAATTTTAAAAAACCGAGTTTTAAACCTTTTATTCCTAAAAAGATTCATTTTTGCTCGATTAAGTATCGGTGTCAGGCTCACGGTTTTAAAACGTGTATACTAAGGAAAGGTTTTCACACCTTTAAAAGAAATGTTTCATTCCCCTCCTCTCCGACTGAAGTGGGATCTCACAATCCACCCCCTTGACCCCAGCGTCTTCACTAACATACTGTCGACTCTGATACCATTTTTAACAGCTCAAGCCAACTGCTAGCAGATATTGTCACTCGTTAATGTCAGCCTCACAATTTATTATTATAATTATTATTATTTTGTATTTTTTTTCCTTATAAATTTCTCTATTAAGAATTTTGAGGGTTTTTATTTTTATTTTTTTAATATTACTTGTTTAATTAGATTTTGTTATGTAATTGCATCTCTCCTTCCTTGTAACGTGGCATTGTTTAGACTTATTTTAGTTGTCTAAAAAACTAGAAAAGGTTGGTAAGGGCATTTTCGTCTAAATCCGCTGAAGGAGAAAGAACCAAACAAACACTTATTACCTTGTGTTTGAGTTCAAGAAAAGGTTTAAGGTTCAATCAGAGTTTACAGGCATTTATCGGATCTCTTCTATGTTCTATGAGAGTCTTCTATAGATATAGCTTGTCTAGTATTCTATCTAATCTTTATTCATTTCATTACGTCCCTCCCCGGGCACTAGTTTCATTCCCTAATAGGAGATTATAATTTAGCCATATCGAAGAGTCTTAATTAATTTTAAAGTTAGCCCATTAATCCCTAAACATCTCTTCTCCAACTTGAGGCCCAACGTGAGGCCCAAAATGCAATACTAAGCCCAATTGAAAGACGAGCCTTTTTTTTTTTGGAGTAATGCCATTCGACCAAACTATCAAGGCATTGTGACTGCAGTTCCTAACAGATCATACATCCTTCCTTCCATAGAACAGATGAGAAGAGAGGCCAATCATCAATGTTCTAGCAACCCATAACCCCATAAAGAGAACTTCGTATACAAATAGCACAAAAGTTTCAAGCAGTCTGGAAGATATTGCAACTACGAACTGAGATTAATCTTCTGGCACTTGAAATGGACAACATTTTATCAGTTACTTTATACATACATAAGGAAGAGTTCTTATTGTGTCTGTGCATAGATAGAGTTGGGAGGGGACGACAAGATCCTGAGAATTCACTTCATTTAAATAACAAGCTGGTGAATCTGGAGCTCCTAAAGTAATCAGTCCAAAAACAACGAAACATAAACAACCACTAGTTTAGGGAGGGAGCGTAAAGTGGGCTTCAAATAGACAGGGCAGTCGGGACTAAGCAAATGGAAGTGAATTCCACAGCAGTCAAACTGGAACCATCTGTAAGGCATCGACCTCTAGTCACCATCACTATCCACTCTACTCGGTCTCTCGCATCTCCAACAACCATCTAATGACCCTGCACACGCACACAGATGAACCATGTAAATTAAGAACAGTACCTTTGCACATTAGTATATTAGATACTTTGACATGCTGGACTTGGTTAATAAGACCGAGTTTACCGACCCAAACTGCATTGGTGGATGAGGTATGAGGTTCATCTATCTCAATCCTCGGGCTGGTTTGAGTTATCTGTACTTGTTGGCGTCTTCACCTCAATCTCTAACTCCAACTCATTTGAAGTTTCCAATTCACCGTCTACCGGAACTAATCGAGTTGCTCCAGAGATGGACTCTGCATTCATGTAAAAATGTCATCATTCCATGAATATGATTAGTACAAAAAATAGGCAGTTTCGTAAAGAAATTAACAAAAAAAATACAAATAAGCTCAGTTTTTAAGGCAAAATTTTAATCAATTTAACTGCTGAAACGGGGATGCCAATATCCCCATCACCAAATGGGTGATAAGCATAAATCCCCTTGCATGCTTCATTGTGAACTACTGGACTTCATCACTGGAATCATTGCATGAGGCTTGTAGCTGGAAATACACCTTTTTTTAACAAAGAATCAAACATTCATTGGGATAAGATGAAGGAATACAAGGGGACAGTAGAAAATAAATGAAAGCGCGAGATAAAAGGAGCCAAATTTAAAAAAGTTAACAAACTAAACAATTACAAAAAATGGAATATGTTTATTCAACCAATAGTTGGGAAGCTGGGAATACTATTATTCAAGATCATAAACTGGTAGCCAACAGAATCTCCCGTTGAATAGTAAAAACTATGACATGGATTAATTTATCGAACATATGGTTAAGCTGATATCATTATATTTAACAAATTAGAGCTGAGATTTTCAAGCTCAAATCAGATCCAGTATTTGTAAGTTACGCAACAATACTGAATGCATAGTTCCTTCGGGGACGTGGTAAAAAATTAGGAGAATATGAAGATAATCATGGCCCTGTGCAAGGATCGCACACATTGAAAAATATAGAAACAATGCTGTGCATTTATATATATATATATATAAAACATCTATACTTATGCTTTGACAAGGCATGATAGCTAGAAGAAAGGAACGTTATCCTACACCTTAACGAAATCTCTTAGTTTCACTACAAAAATTTTGCATATTAGGCCAGAACAACCATGAAATGGTCAAAGCTAAATCAAATAACTATGTCAATGCACTCTATCATCATTATGACTATATGCCCATATCTCGACCAGCTCAAGAAGTTGGGGGTTAGAGCAAATGTCCGGGGGTTTCTTATTTTCTGTAATTTAGTGATGCTTGGTGAATTGCAATCTTTATCATAACCAATACTCTCAGTCATCTGGGATTTCAAGTTGTGCTTCATAACTCGAAACTACAAAATCACATGACTAGTAACGAGTTGATATAAGCCATAAACATATCTTACAGTATTCCCTCACATGTTTTACATCCTGCAACTGCAGATTGTAATTCTGAATTAAGATTTGGCTAAAATGTCAAGACAGTAAGATATTACATCAAATTGTTCACATATACTTGACCATTTTTTGGGGTAAACTGCAGATTATAATTCTGAATTAAGATTCGGCTAAAATGTCAAGACAGTAAGAATTAGATCAGCCAAAGTAATCACATAAAACTATCAGAAGTACCGTCCCAATTCATATGCACCAACGACGCAGTAGTGTTTTATATTTAAAGAAAAATATGGTTGATTTACCACTCCAATTCAGAAATTATACGGCAATTCTATCACTCTGAATTAATAGCGAATAACACAAATTCATCTTAAGTCGGTTCACCTACAGTTGGTACAAACGACTAGACTAATAAGGCCGAAAAATCACCGCTTTCAATCATCCCTCCCCACATTAATCAACCACTAAAGACACATCTATCGAATAACTCAACGCGATCGGGGAACAAAAATAAAAAGAATAATATATATATATACACACACATATACCTTTGGCGAAGAAATCCAAGCAGGGCCAACCACGGGCGTTAGCAAGGGAAGGAGACTCCTCTTTGGTGAGCGGTTCAACCAATTTATCGAACAGGTCGACCACCTTGCGTGGTTTGTTACGGCGAGGAGGGACCCAAAATGAGGAACCGGGAACAAACGGAAGCCAATCCGGAGTCGATCGCTCAACTATAATCTTCTGTACAAAGTCGTCCAGCTTCCTAATAGCAAGAACCTCTGAATCAGCCCCGAAAGAAGACGATTCGAGGTCAATTTCGATAAACTTGACCTTGCCGGAACGTGTAGATCGGTTCCGATGACCGAGGACAAAGGAAGACGGAATCAACAGCGATAATTTCAACGGCGCAGATTGCAACTTGGCGGAGATGAAAGATTGCGATAGAGATAGAATTCGGGCCATGCGAAGAAACCAGATGAAATTTGAATGCTATAAATTGAAGAGGAGCTCCCTCACCTTTAAGCTCTGGGTGTGCGAAAGAACTTTCAGAATCGAGGATTAATCTCGATAAAGAAATTCTTTTTTGGAATAATTTATCCGCAATATATACATATATTTTTATAGAATTATCTAAAAAAAAAAAAATTAATTAATTAATTTAAAATGTCGTAAATTGCGCCAAAAATTTTGACGGTGTGTGTTTATTCCGTGAGTATAATGATAATTAAAATAGAAATTTGATTTATGAATTTCTCAAAATTAGAAATGCCTATTTTCATTTCATTTCTTCTATTTTTTAATTATTTTTTTTGGCAATTACCCATTTGAGTTTTTTTTTTTCTTTTGGAGAATTAAAAACACGTTTTAAATTAGAATATTTAACTTTTATTTTATTTTATGATATTTTAAAATAAATTATTTTATGGATGCTTTTATATAATGATACTTAATTTTATATAGTTGAATAATTTAATTCTTGACCTAATGTAATTGACCAGAAGTCAAGGCAGACGTGGACGATCAAAATTAGTCCAAACAAGGAGGCTGAAGCCAATCGTGAACGAACATTTGTCGTAATCTGGAACGTTCAATTTGACAAGTGAGGCCAAATTACTGAACGGTCACGATTGAATTACCATTCATTCGGATGTAAACAAATGCTATTGCTGAAGAATTTCTGTTCGCCCAATCGACATCTCTCGCCTGTTCCAACGATTCTTCTCAAGTTTCGATCCCGATCGCTTGTTCTAGGATTAGGGTTTGGTTTTTTTCTCTGCAAATCGGGGCAAGATGGCAATGAGGCAATTCTTCTCGGAAATCAGGGGCTTGAAGGTTAAGGAGCTGCCTGGCTACGTGAAGCCGATGCTCTCCATTGACTATGCGAAGAAGGCAGTGCAGAGAGGTCTCGACAACTACAACGCCAAGTACATTCAGACCGGCTCGATTGACCCTCTTCTCCATGTCTGCTATGGCGGTATGATCTTATCCTACCTCGTTGCGCTCCCTGAGGAACGGCGCCACCTTGAACATCAGCAACACGCCAAAGAGCATGGTGGCCACTGATTGAATTCCCCATGTCTTGAGGTATGGATTCCACTCTGTATTTGTCTCAGCATTGCTTTGAGTGATTAGAATTTTATAGGCCAAGTCGTGTTTAGGTTTTCTTGGATTGTGATCGATTAGGGTTCAATTCGTGCATGAAATGAGTATTTGTGTCCCGAATCATCGAATTTCATCATATCTGTGGAATATGTTTCCTATTTACATTGTCATCATCTGAAAACCAAGTCAATTGTTATTATCATGTTGTATTTATCTTTGCTCAAATGATCTTTTTTGTGTTGTGATTAATATTTGTAATATGCGATCAAGATTGTTTCCCGCTGGATCTTTTAATTATACGAGAGCATTCAGCACACGATATATACGTAGAAATTTTTTCTCGTGAAAACTTCCGTGCGTCTATATTACGTGCGTCATTTTTATTTGGAGAAAAGAGACTTTATGATTTGGAGAGAAGATACCAGAGTCAAATAATGTGTTATTATACCCCGCTCTAAGCAACTATTTGGATTAAACAAGTACCTATCATCTTCCTTTTCTTTTCATCCTTTGTCTATATTACAACTCACCAAATCCATTTTACCTAGGTATTTTTGTTCTATGTTCTCATAGAAACTGTTTTAGCTGCATTCATAGTCGACTATCTTTAGTTCCTTAATAAGGAAATTCTGCTAATTCTGGCATAGCTGATGGTCTTGAGTTGTTTGTGTTTATCTGACCGTGAATATGACTTCTCAAGTGGAAAGCAGGCAGATTTACATCTCATAAAATGACCCATGTTACAAAACTCACAGGCTTGGGGTCTAACTTCTTGAATTTTGGTGCCATCGAGACTAAATTTAGAAGCGATGTGCGTTTTCAAAATTTTTGTTTTTTATTGCTTATGTGCTCAACTCAGTTTAATCTCTGCATGTTCGGTGCTTAAAAGGTCAAAGAAAAAGGAGACAAGCACATGTAACTTTTGAATGATTGTGCTTTTCTATTGAACATATAAACACTAAGTAGTGACATTTTTTTTTTTTTTTTCAGAACTTAATGAATGGTGTATGTGGTGCATGCGAGTATTATTCACCCATGAGGCCTAGCCTTGCAGTTTTGAGTTCGTCTGTACTCACTTTTTCCCCACAAATTAGGACATTTCAGTGCTCTTAATGAATTCTTGTAGTTGCTGCCTGTTGAAAGTACCTTGTCTTAGGATATGCCTAATTTCCGTAATAAGAACCTGCGGAAAAATATATACTCATGCTGTACTAGTAAGTCCGTTTTATTTCCTAAGAATGAAGTTTTGTTATTTCTGGATTAAAAGAGTACGATAAGAAGTATCTAAAGGATGTTTAAGGGAAACGAAGTGTCCGTGTTATACGCTCGCAGCATGGCTTACCTTGCCAGATTTTAAACCTCCTTTCATTTCATTCTTGTGCAAATAACTGCAAATCAGATAGATTCTTGGCCTGTATTGACCAATCCTTGTCCAACTTATCCTACTTTTTAGTTGGGTCGACTCAATCTATTGTGACAACCTCTCCTGGGCTGTAAAACTCAGAATCTATGCTTTTAGTTTTAGGCATCATAATTGTTCATGCAGGTTGTGAATCTTTCATATAACTTATGCATGAAATTGTACGATAAACTACGTTCGCATATATTTCATCTAAATTTAACTCCTTCCTTTTCTTTATTTTTGCAGGGTCAGTGTGCCTCAAGGGTGTTTCTGGTCAATAATTTGTTTCCCGAATGCTTTTGTATCTTAGTCTTGCTGCCTGAAACTTGCTATTATTTTCTTTAACACATGGTGCCAGAGGCAATAAACAGACTTTTCTGTGAGTTTTTAACCATATGTGGCAACCATCTTTGAGTTGCAATACGTTCATGGTTGTTTTGCACATGCTTATTCCTGTGGTTAGTTCTTTTCTTTGTCAATTGCCTAGTGTACTATTGCTTCAGGCCTCAAAATTTCAAATGCAAATTGATATCTTTCGTTTCTCCAGGTTGTTAAAAGTAATCTGAAAGATTACAATGATCATATGTTCTTTCTTGCAACATTATTTGTATTTGAACTCTTTGAATAAGTTTGTTTGTGATGGAAATAGATAAAATCAATGGAAATGTTAGTTGATAATTGTTTGGTGGCTATTTTAGGATGGAACAGAAAAGACCAAATCTTGATCATTGCAGCTATTCTTGTTACCGAATGGTGGGCTAAAGGTCTTTTCCAATATAGAATGTTAAGTTGTCTTACACGAACCAATTTCACAACGGGTCGTCTGTGATCTGATTTGATGGGTGATTTTAAATGGTTGAACAGTTAATCTGCGTTCTTAACAGATTCTATTTGGTGTCATTTACAAGACGCCCACACGAATTGGTTCATCATGGCCTGTGATCCCCTTTTGGGTGAATTGGGCTATCCGTCATTGTCTTGTTTTGCTTAGCTTTGCTTTCTGTTTATCTTTAATGAAAAATAAATAAATTATACATAAATGTTTTTTATAGACCAAATATTACATAAATATCAAAAGTGAATGACAGAAAAATCAAACATTTTAATTTAAACCAATCATAATTAGTTGCTTCATAAAGTTTGTACTAAATGTTAATTATTTGTACTAAATGTTAATTATTTGTCCCATAAATAGTCTGGCGAATTTGAGAAAAGATTCATAAATAGATCTTAGTATAGACACATGAGTTTGAGTTTGAATATTACGTTTGATTTTGTAATTGACATTCATTGTGTAGATACCTATGCAAGTGAGACATTGGTTAGTCCTAAAACAATGACAACGACACAATGAGTAACGACTAGACATGCTGCAACCTAAGTACCATGAGACATCCATTTCTCTCTATAGGATTACACCCGAGTGACTAATCCCACGATAATATACTAAAATTGAGCATATATACAAATATTTTTCCACAAACAGTGAGAATCAATCTTTAATTTTGTATTATATTTGATCAAATCAATTCATTTTGAGAAAGCCAAAATCCACCTACGAATTATTAACTGCACAATCTTTGATACCCAGAAGAGAGAAAATAAGAGGAAAAAAGAAAGACCTACACAGCCAAAAACTGTCCTAAGAACGTCAAAAAGGAGCATCCAGAATTTATCTCAAACACTAACAATAATTATTATAATAATTTTGACTTAAAAGTTCATCAAATAATAAGAGCAATTCGTAGTAATTTTGTTCCAGAGACCTATGAATCAATCATTCTCAAAAGTTATTGGAAATACTAAAAATCCGTTTTAGTACGTATCGTTTCCTCACAGAGTGTAGAGATGAGCAATTGATGCTATACAGAGAAATGGGCTTCAGTTTGATTCTCTAGAAATCCGGAAGATTGCAATTGCTTATGGTATGCGTTTAAGGTTTTGGTTGGTGTCGAGTCTATTCCGGGAAGAGTTTCCAAGTCCAGAGATCGAGCAGAGGCAGAGACACAGAGCTGTGTCCATTGGTTTCTTGAGGAAATTAGAAACTGAGGCGGCTACTGATGAATGTAGCATGAGCCCAAAATCTGCAGTTTCGCGCTTGAAATTTCGAACCCAGATCATTGATTCAGTATAAGAAGCGTCCTCTTACTTGCCATTACCTCTTTTGGTTTCACTTTCATTCCGAGTGCTGCTGTAAATGTGAAGATCTCCTTTCTTTTTGCCTATCTCCTCGAGGTACCCTTCTTTTCTTGAATTTCCTTCCATTGTTTCGTCTTGTGTTCCATAATGTGTTTTTCGATTTCTGGTCAAATTCTCGGGAGGTCTACCTTAAGATTTATGTCGTCGACTAATTGTTTGTATGGATTTTTTGGCGATTTGGATCAAATTAGCGTCTGGGTATCTGTTGAGTTGGCCTATTACGGATCACGATTGACTTGATCTTTTAATGATGGTCTTCCATTAGTCATATTGATGAATGATTATCTTTGTTGATAGATTCTTTAAACAAGTTATTCTACTTTACCTAATTTATTTTGAAGTATTTAATTTCTATTGCCGAGATCAATGTAGTTATTTTTCTTCTTGAACTCACTACCTTAGCCCATGTTGGTTTATAATATGGCATTTTCAGTGAAAGTGCAGAGGAAGTTTGATTCATGTTTCGTGTTTCCTTATTTCACTACTTGGTGATTCATGTGCTTAGATCAATTCTATGTCTGCATTTGTTGGGGATTTCGTCCTAACAAGCTTTGGTGTCAGTTGAGTTTGCTTATTAAGAATCGAAATGGCTTGATCTTTAGATATCTTTTCGTGGTTGTTCATTAGCCATTTTGGTGATTGATGATGACAAATTATTTGAACAAGTTACTCTGTTTCTCCTAATATGTTCGAAAGTGTTAACTTCCTAATGCAGAGGATAGCGTGATTTTTCTTGTAGAACTTATTACCTTAACTCATGTTGGTTGTATTTTTTTGTTAATATGCCATTTCTTGATTTCAGATTTCATTTAGACTGAGTTATCGGACGCCCCAAAGGGACCGACTGAGTAATATGAGCTCTATTTTACCACATACCCAAAAATCTGTTGTATGATCAATAGCTCACATCTGTGCACTTCTGAAGACCATGGACTTGGATTTTGACTAGTTTTGAGGAGTATCTGCAGTGGATGAAGGAAAAAAAAAAAAAAAAATGGTCTTCAAATGGGCTGCTTTTGAGTTTTCATATGCGAGAGACTAGTAAATTATTTTCAAAATCAGTTCCTTAAATTTGATTTCAAACTACGCTAAAATATCGTATCGTTTTTCTGAAATTAAAGCAACTTTATAATGACGAAATTTTATTTATTGTTCCTTTTATACTGGACAAGATTGCCGTTAAATGCCAACTAAAATGTCCCTTTTTGTTTACAAGTTAATCTCCATCTTTCTCAGAGATAGGCTTTGAAGTGATGTAGGCATCAGTACACTTCATTTTTTATATGAGCTGCAGAAGTTTCCCTTTGATGAGATCGGCTATAAAAATTAGCTAGTTGTACAGTTCAATCCATTCTGTTTATATTTTAAGACATTTTTGTTTATCATGTGCTTATAAAGCAATGACATACAAGTCAATCTTGTAGTCACCAGTGAATGGTGGATAGTTTTCTCCTCTTCAGAATAATGGTAATGTTATGTTTCTATAAGAGAAATTGGGTTGGCATTGACCAAACAAGAAGCAGACATCCGCTGTTGAATTTGTATTAAAACAAAAGCACTTTTATTAATTTCTTAAAAGTACAAATTGAACTCTTGCTGTGTGTGCGGGGATCTATATTCTTTTCTTTCTTTAACTCTTCATATTTATGCTGTAAAGATTGACCTGTTCCATAGTTCCATGCGTAGGTACACTTGAAGTCACGGTTACCAGTTATTGTGCGAGTTCTTATGTAAAGACATTGGAGATCAATATGAGAGGTACTGGAAGAAGATTGACCCAGAAGGAATCTGGCAAGTGTTCTCACTCCAAGATGGAAACTGGATCAGAGTTGATATTACCTCTGAAGTTGAAAAGGTGTAGCAAAATATCCCATTCCAAACAGAAAAAATCAAGAACGAAATCGCATGCACAGGAAATTGGTTCAACATTGAAGAGGAGACCATTTCCTAAATCCTTGAGCAAGGGGAATAAAAATGTGACAATTAGACAACTGGCTGGGAAAAAATTTCTGCTAAAGAAACTTAATTCAAAATATACCAAGGACTTACTTTTGTCTAAGCTTCAAGGTGGTAAATCCCTGCCGTCACCTAGTACGGAAGGGAATGCAGAGAAGGTTGAGCCAGTGACCAAGATAAACCAACAAAGGAAAAGGAGGAAGAACAAAGGAAAAAGGGAAAAAGTGGAGTTAGATGAAGCTTCTCGCCTACAGAGAAGAACAAGATACCTTATTATTAAGATTAAGCTTGAGCAGAACCTTATCGATGCCTACTCTGGAGAAGGTTGGAAAGGCCAGAGGTAAGAAGTATCCACAGTATTAACTAAGTTATCTATTTATTTACTCGTCTTTATAATGGTAGATTTGATGTTTCTTCACTCTGTAGGAATGATGTGAGTTTGATCAGAAAACTAGCTCCCGTCATTCCTCCGGAGTGAAGAAACGTCAAATCTACCTCCTCCTTGTCCTAGGAAGTTCGGTTAGAATGCTCTTAAATTATGATTCTGTGTTTAATCAATGAGAGAGAAAAAAACCAAGGATCATGAAAGATAGGCGCTGGTTATTGTTATTAGCTCTGGATTTCACTTGTCCCTTTATAATAGATGGCGTCCTTTTTTAAAAGACACAATAAGTAAATTAGACAATGAAATTTTCAAAAAAAGACCAGGGAGATTTTATACCTTTCCAAGATAGTAACATTGAAACTTGCAAAAGTTATTTTGTTTTTCCTGAAAAGAAAAAGGGGTATAAATTTATTCTTATAACAGATGATTTACTAACCAAATTTAGCCTAGACTGCTAAAATTTAAAGATCTTTTTTGTATCTATCATCAAAAGTCTTCTGTTTCTTACTTCCCAGATTTCCCTTTAACTACCACACACAAATAGAATTTTTTCCCTTGAAAATTAAGAGAATACTAGCTTTAATACCAGAGCTATTCTTTCAAACATGGACTTTGACACGTTTGATCTCGATCCCATTCTTAATAGGACAGCCCTGCCAAAACCCAGACTGCTGACAAAGATCTAATTTGTTGTTTCATAACAGGACAGCCTATCTGATTACCAGTAGGCTGCATTGGACACTAGTTAGATATGTTATTTTTATCTATTTCTGAGCTTTGGAGTTAGGGGGATGTGTCTAACAGCAGCACATTTGGTAGAAAACGAAAAAAAAAAGTGTAATATCTGTCATTGTCATTCATTTTTTGAGACATCGATATGAAAGAGTTTTAAGTGGAAGAAAAATAACCAAAAATGCAGGCATGCGAAGTAGTGTGCGTTTCCCAAATAGTTATCTAATTTGTAGTATCATAATGATCATCTGGGTGTCAAATATACCTTTCTTAGGGGTAGGGGCCGGGGGTATGCATACAAAATTTTAACGGGTCAGGGGGAGGGGGGGTTTAATTAGCAGCCGAATCAAAGATTACAGAACTGTGATATACTCCCATTTTTTTTCCTTTACGTTATTCCATGAATAAAATATTTTACAAATTGAGATGGTTAAGCTCTTTTAGAAGCTGAATCCTTTATATTGAAAGTAGAAAATGGTATGATCTGAGTTTTTGTTGCTATGTAATTTTATCTCCCTGACATAACTATTTCCTCAGCCGAGAAAAAATTAGGCCAGAAAAGGAACTCCAGAGAGCCATGGAGCAGATATTGCAGTGCAAACTTGGAATCCGTGATGCTATTCGCCAGCTGGATTTGCTTGGTTCAGTAGGATGCATTGAAGATTCTGTTATTGGTCCTGATGGATCTGTCTACCACGAACATGTAAATAGTGCAGTTTAAAGTATTCTAAGCTGAGCTAGTTACATCTGATCTTTTGGTTCTTTTGAATCAAATTAATTAGAGAACTATAATGACCCAAATCATATTGGGTAAAGAATTGTACATCATTGTGGTTTGTTGGGGGTGGAAGGCGGTCATGACTGAAGTTTTTAGTTCATTCATTAGAGAAAGAACATAGGTAAATTCATGCAATGAGATATGTTCATTGGGTGCATATATGAGAGTCTGGAAGTAATAAACTCTGCTAGTTCAGATTTCTCATTTTAACTTTTTATACAGCTTTTAGATTTGGATATTGGTGGATGGCTTTTTTCTGGTATTTCTGCCTTCTGACTGGGAAAAATGTGTCTCGAGGGAAAATTTGAACCATAGTCGGTTTAAAAGACCAAGTACTTAGGCGTTTATTTTCTTTCAATGAATTGATTAAACCTAGCCAGTAATTCTTAGGATGCATTAAGCTTGTATCAAAGTTCTATGGCATTAAAGTCTATTTTATTTTCTCCAGATATTCTGTGCAAAATGTAAGTTGCGTGAAGCTTTTCCAGATAATGACATTATACTTTGCGATGGGACATGCAACTGTGCTTTTCATCAAAAATGTCTGGATCCACCATTAGACACGGAAAATAGTAAGTTTAGCCCGTATTGTTCTCCTGGATTTGCAAACTTGACCTTTTGATCTGGTTGCTTCTGACATTGACTCCTGAAATTGTTTATAGTTCCTCCAGGAGACCAGGGTTGGTTTTGCAAATTTTGTGAGTGCAAGATGGAAATATTGGAGGGAATGAATGCACATCTTGGTACCCGGTTCTCAATGAACGTTAGTTGGGAGGTTAGTTTTTTTGAAGATCTTCTAATTCAGTTTTCCATCGTTGTTTTAGTTTTAAAATTTATTCCTTCGCATCATTAACAATATTCATATAAAAATTAATTGTAATCAATCATAAAATTAACTCTTCTTGGAACAGGACATTTTCAAAGAAGAAGCTGCTTTCCCAGATGGTAGAAATGCATCGCTTAATCATGAGGAAGATTGGCCCTCGGATGATTCCGCAGATGATGACTATGATCCAGATAAGAAGGAGATTGGCTATGACAACCCAAGTGGGGAAGAAAATGACAAGGATGTTTTTGAGGAGTCGAGTAGTTCAACCAGCTTGAGTTGGTCTTTAGATGGCGAGGATTTAACTGATAGAGATAGTATTGGATGTGAAGATCACTTTGGTGCTAGCAGCAGCATAGTTTCTGATGGCTCCAATGAAGAGGGTATAACAGGTGGCCGTCGGCAACGGCAGGCTGTTGATTATAAGAAGTTATATGTCGTAAGTTTCTCGGCATTATTAGACAAGTCTTAGTTTATTGCTTTCAAGCCTAGAAAGTAATATTCTTTGAGCACCCAGTGACCAACATCGAGCATTTTGTTTGAGCATTCTTGTTATTTGTTTTAAAAAAACATGAAAATTATTAAATTCAACGATTGAACTTTCAGATAGGCAACTTGCACGTTTAAACATAAAATTTTCTTTTTCCAATTATTTAGGGAGCTTATCAATTTGTTTATGCTAATTTTCACCTCACCAACGAAAAGTTCTGCTTTGGTTGGAAAAAAAGGGCACTGTCATGTAGAATCCTCCAGAATCAATTCTAAAGATTTCTTCCACAAATATTTATAGTTGACGTTGTAATTTCTTTCTTTCAGGAAATGTTTGGAAAGGATTCTACAGCACATGAACAAGTTAGTGAAGATGAAGACTGGGGACCTGCAAAAAGAAGACGGAGGGAAAAGGAATGTGATGCTGCAAGTACTCTTATGTCTCTTTGTGAAAGTGAAAAAAAGAGTAAGAAAATTGACGTGGAAGCTGAGAAAAGACCTCTCAATTCGCAAAGTAGATCATTTTTCAGAATTCCTCTTTATGCAGTGGAGGTAGAGATTTAATCATCCAATATGTCTAGTTTTCGTTTGAAGTTTGTAAGAGTTCTTCTCCCTTCAAATGAACTTGTTGTTCACTTTGTGAACCTTACCAGAAACTTCGCCAAGTGTTTGCTGAAAATGAACTTCCCTCTAGAGATGTCAAGGAGAACCTTTCAATAGAGTTGGGTCTTGATGCTGAGAAGGTGACAACAATTCTATAAGTTATCAAGTACTGGAAAATGTCTTTTTTAAGAGTGATTTTAGCCATATTATTCAATGCTAGTGTAAATCCACACTAAGACATTGCTGAGCAAATAAAAATTAGCCAATAGATCTGTGTCTTCTCTTTATAGTGTTACATTTTCACTTGACGGTTAAATTATTTATAATTGTTTCATGCAAATTTCATCTTCTAGAGTGACTTGATTTCCATATAGAATCAGGTTGGTTGGTTTACATTTTCATTTAGAACTTCATTTTTTATGCCTTTCACCTTCATATATTGAAGCTTTAAGTTATTCGTTGAGTATATTCTTGACTTTCAGGTCAGCAAATGGTTCAAGAATGCACGATATTCTGCACTAAGAACCAGAAAGGTGAGATTTGTGTGTGTTGTTCTGGTAGTTCTGGTAGTTCCTTTGCTGCTTCCTATGATTTCCAGCATCTTGTAAATATTTGACATTCGTGATCCTCTCACAAGATCACTTTTCTGAAATTGAAGAACGCAACGATCTCTTTAAAAGCAGTTATTAAAACTTGACTAAATAATTGAAAGAAAGAAAGGAAGTTTTGTTAGCTTTTGCCAGCTTTTTGCCTCCATAAGATTGAGATTCTGATCCTCATATATTTCTACAACAGGCAGAGGGAGCAACACAATCCCATAGTCCCAATAAGACTCTCAACGAGCCCAGATTGGCAGATTCAAAGGAAATGTCTGCGTGTCCTCCTTCATCAGAGGACGCACCAATAAAAGAACTGCAGCTTAAATCGCGCAATAGTCACTACAAGAAAAAGCAGCACAGGAAATCGTCTCTTGTGTCTTCCAACAATAACAAGGTATCATTCTCCTATATCAATATCTTTTTTTTCTAGCTGTGTCTAATGCTTCCTGACAAAATATAATCAAATACAAAGTAGAATTGGGGAAAATGCATCCAAACATCAAAATTATTACTTTACTACTTCTAGCTTTTTTCATTTTAAAGGAATTCATATGATAGAAATGTTGTTATGTTATGGTTTTTAATTAAATTATTCATGCACAAAGTTTGAAACATCAAAATATTGTTTGGTTGAAAAAGCAGTTTCCAGCGAACTAAGAAACCATGTTTGGAATAGTAGATACCTATTTCTATGAATTCTTTCTGAACATGAGCTCTTGTGATTTCATAAAGTACATATCTAATTGAAGCAAGTACTCCTGATCTGATTATCGTCCTTGTAACCTCCTTCTTACTCAGTATTCCATCCTACTATTTATTTTGTGCATGTAAAAAAGATAGTAAAATAACTTTTGGCTTCTTGGAATTATCAAAATGAACATTGAGCTGATATAGCATGCGAAGCATGTCGTATGATGATAAAATAAGATTATAAATCTGTACTGTATCTGATTTAGACTCATTCAACGTAGAGAGTTATACTGAAATAAGATCAGCTTATGTAGAGCTTAAATTACTTTAAATTGATATTTCTATGTTCATTGTTTGACACTGTTTCAAAGTCTGAAATGCATTCTTATTTATTACGTCTTTTCATGTGAAGGAATAGTATCATATTTTTGTTACTTTTTTCATATTTAAAATATAAGAAAGTTACAAATTATCCATAGTAGGCTGTGAAGTTGAACATCACATCTCTAGTAATTGGGAAAAAAAAAAAAAAATCAATACTATGTAGTATAAGTAATTGGAAAATTATATCATTACCATTATTTGTAACGTAATTGCATATGTTAATTTAACAACTTAAAATTGCAAAGGATTTCATTTTTTTACGAACTACATGGATCTGTTATCATATTGCAACTCCAAGAGTTTTGCAAAACAAAATTCTGTGATGTGGGATATAGTTGGTCAATTGATGCAATTATTGTGAAATTTGACGAGTCAATGATTATGTTTTTGAAAAATAAGTTTCTGGCTCATTTCTTCAATTATTTATTTGAGTTGATGTATCAGGCTGATGTTAAAAATCCTTAACAGATTGTATGTAATATCATAGAACTTTCAAATGATATTGAAATTTGCTCTAATTTCTATGATCTGAGATTCATACCAGGAAGATTCAAAGATCTGACATTAATACTCATTGATTTGGTAACATGTCAGCCTTTCCTATTGTGTGAATACGATATAGAAACTGACTCATTATGTTTATAACTTGTTTGGAATGATTTGCTAAACATACTCTTAATTATTATACATTGCGAACATGAACACAGCTTAACTTGGTTATGTTTATTTGTTGTATCCAGGATGCTCTTGATTCAGGTGATGATATAAGCTTGAAGAATCTCCTAAAGAATAGGAAAGCAAAGGTAAAGAAGAGGGTTAAATTCGTAGCTAGAGGTGGAGATCGAGGTCAAGAAGCAGAAGTGGAGATGGAGAGACTGTGTAAAATTAAGGGTAGATTAGAGATAATGAAGCAGAAATTACTTAGACTATCAAATAAGAAAGAAGATGGGGTTTTAGATAGGTCACACATGTTTGAACAGTCTATTGTATATGTTCCTGTGGCAGTGTTAAAGGAGAAGGTTTGATTGTGTGCTCTGACTTTGATTCTTTTCCCCAATATTCAAAGATGGGACCTTATGGTATAATCTTAATCTTAATTACGTGTTTATTTTTTCAAAACTTTAAATTACATGTTCCAGGTTCCCCACATTGTTGCATACAGAAATCTGTTCGAATCGTTAAATTATGAGTTTAAATGTAAGAATTAGTCTCTGTGATTTAATGCCATAGGACGTAAATTCTGACTTTCGTTCGGCCATAAGTATCGAATTTGCAACCATGCAAGGAACTTGTAGCATATTTCACATCGATACTTGTTGACAAAAAAAATAAAAATAAATAAATAATGTAAGAAGTCTCCTTAACCTGCTCTGCTTTGAAAAGGGAATATATTCATATTCATATCATAAGTTGCACAGAATTCTTTGGCTTCTGTAGTTGGAAGTTTTGCAGATATGAAACTAAATCAACTCCCATATTTAAACACATTCAACTCTATCATCCTATATACACAGCCTTGATTTACATTGACTTTTACCATCAAAGATCATTACTTCATAGAGATGAGGCCATGATAATGGGGAAAAATGTCAGCAAAAACTTAAATCAATGAATAAGCAGTTTGCGTAATGGAAAATCTAATGAAAAGCCATCAAATGTGCTCGAAATAAATCAGTAACTCAAAAGATCAATAGATAAAAGATTAAAAAAAAATGGAGAGAATCCAAAGGAAAACCAATCAAACTAAATTTTGGCAATCTAGCCTTCTCTAGTTCCCATACTTCTGCTCTCAAAATCATATCATATCCCAAAGCCCACGAAGCTATACTTTTTTTTTTTTTTTCCTAGGTAGAAACAGATGGAAATAAACGATATCGTTAAAGTATTTTGCTAGCTATCAGTGTTGAATCAAACTTCAGAAAAGAAAACAAATAGGGAAATGTAAAAGATCATGAACTATTCCAATTTCATTTCTCTACTCCTCACCAACAAAAAGCAATTACCATCTACCCATTTTCTCTTGACAGACGTTTTCCAGGAGAAGAGGACAAAAAAAATCTCAAACACATCATATTTAGTCCTTCATTTGCATCATACAAGATATTACTATTACAATGCTTCTTAAAGTAGAGAATAAGACTAATTTTAATCTGAATGACTTGATTTTGTAAGATATGGAGTTACGGACACTTGAATACTATCAAGCAGTTCTCACCATATCAAGTTTTGTGTTCTGTATTCTCTATAAGGTTCTGCACATCACTTCTGCTCCTGGTCTCATCCAATTTCCGTCTTTTGGAAGCTAAACGAGGCCTCAACTACAAAGCCAGAGAGAAGAATTAACATTATCAGAACCAAAGAGACGAAAGATGGGAAAAGATGTGGATGGAACCACTTTCAGAATTTTCAAAAGATTATGTTAGGAATGATAACAGGAAAATATTAGGACGTTAGAAAAACATATTAGTCATTGACTGTGTTTTGATGGAATGGTTACACAGAGTAGGTTGGAAGGGTTTTAAGTTAGGTCTTTTTGAGAAGGATCGTCCTCCGGTGTACACTTTCAGTAACTTTTAATTAACATCAACCCCATCAGGGCGTGGGATTATATATTAATCAATTTGGATGCGAACTATGTGCTGCTAGACCGAATAAATTGGGAATAGAAAGCAAGACGGCAAGATTGTGTGGTTGTCAAAATTGATTTGTAGAAGGCTTATAGCCATATAAATTGTGATTTCCTAACTCGGTGTTAATGAAGAAGAGTTCTATACTAAAATGGAAAGCTTCTAATATTAATGGTAATTTGGGCTCTCAGAACTTCTTAGTGAATATCAATGGAAAACCACGAGGGCAATCAAAAGCCTAAAGAGAATACATGAAGGGTTAACTAAAAAGAAATCCACAGTAAAAGCACATATAGTGTAGTGACTGGTATGTAGAGAAATGACAGTACCATTTCAATGTACTTCAACTGCTTTAAAACTTGACCTGTTTCCAATTCCTGCAATTTTGTAAAAGGAATTACTTTAATAATATTCATTACAACTCCTATGATTTTTTTTACGACACAATCCAAATGATTGCACATGAGAATATAATGGAGCCTAAAGCTCTCTCAAAGAGAAATGACTCATAAATGAATTTGGTTATTATGATTAACGAATAACAAAGTCCAAATTCTCTATTGATAGAGGAATAGTTCAACAAACTAAGAACTACTTATAAACAACGCATTGAACTAATCTAGTTAGGACTTTAGGGGTTGTTTTGGCTCCATTTTTTTTTAGCAGGTTTTGTATACCCCTTATGTTTTTCCCCCTCTATAAAAGCTTGGCTTCTATAAAAGAAAAAAAAAAAAACAAAGTCATTGAACAAGAAATTACAAAACTTTCCTAGATCTCTACATGAGAAAAAGCTATTCATCTACATGTGTTACCTAATTCTCCACGCTGGTGCATTGATCTTTATGTTCACTTTAAGATATCTTATCTTTGCAAGAATGCAAAATTTAGATGGAAATCTTAACTAATCTCATGGAACAATTGTCTTACCCTATTATATTTAATCGTCATGCAGGATTTTTAATGTATTACGTAGGTGGCCACTATAAGTAATCTATGTGAATCTTAAAACTACATGGGTTGAGAAGATGACCAAAAAAAGGTCATCAAATGCCCCTCCCATAGGCATCTTGAGATATTGGGAGCCTATATGGTGCACAATGAACATTGAATGAGCATCCGAGAGTTCACAATGGCTGTTTGAAAATAACGGGAACCTCTAAAAGAACGTTGAGTCTAAGAATTGTGTACACGAGATAAAAGAAGAGAGAGATCCAGTATTGAGGTCATTTCACCTGAGGTACAGCACAATCAGCATGTGCTGGATCCCAGAGGATGGAGCAGAAGCATTCCCAGTCATCAGTTTGGACTTCAAAAAGAGGAGCCCTATGATGCCAAGTTTAAAATAAAAAATAAATTGTAACTCTTGATTTGGAATGTTCACAAAATTAACAAAAGATTCAAAATCATGAACAACAATCAAGATAATGATGAAAAAAACTGAACTAGATGAAGATTTCATCCCCTAACTTAGAAGATTGGAACACTATGACGACAAATAAGTGAATAAACAAGAGCATAAAGTTGGTTTCCTGGAAAACAAAGAAATTAATTTGAACAATTAGCTACGAGAAGAACACAACAACCTAAAACAAAACAAAAACTTTAATCTTTTGTAAAAGAAGGAAAAACTAAATAAATAAACAGGATATTAATCCTGCCTCAATTTGACATTCAATAATATTTTGCTTAATAAGTATCGTTTCTGATCGCAAAGTTCCATGGAATAAGTTGAGTAGAAACAAGTGAACGTGTTAATGTACTGGCAATTGAGATCATCTAGAACAGATATTAAGTTCTGAAATGAAAACAAGATAGTAGTTAGAGATAGACAGACACTGAGAGTGCAGCATAAGATATATCATTTTCCTTACCTGCGCCACTTGCCACATATGACTCCATTAACACCACCCACTCCATCTATAACTTGTTGACATTGAAGCCAATTTCCAATAGCGCTCAATCTACAAGGTTTATTGGTACTCTGCTCCTATTATTTTATTGGACGGGAAGTAGAAAGTCACATCACTATTTTTCATTGATTTACAAACTTTGTTACTGAATGAAAACTAACAGAAGCAAGTAGATCTTACATGCATAAGAAAAGACCCTGAAGGATCCATTTCCAGTGGCTCAGCGGTGGCATCAGTATCACTACATCAGCCCAAAAGAAATAAATGCTTAAAGGAAAAGGAAGAAATATGAACTGATTTAAAAATAAATGATGCACACTTTCTCCTTATCATGTCAAAATAAAGGTTCTACTGTAACCAATATTTTTGTTTTCTTCACTGTTCTCTTTGAGATAACTATGAAGGTTCAAGTTCAAGATATCTTGAGCCATTATGCACCTCAGCCGTTCTCACAAGACTAATGTTCCAACCAATAACTAATGTAAGAATCCACCACAAAGAAGTATCTTGGGTAAGTAATCATAGACTTAGTCCACTAATAAATCATGTAGTTTTACAACTATTGACTATGCTAGTGTAAAGACTCACAAATGGCATAAGTAATGAAACGAATTCTTGTCCCAAGAAGACCAGCAAAAGCATGCGCAAAAATAAAATAACAAAAACCTATACTTCTTCAGCCTAGCTTTGACGCAAGAAAGGCTATGCCAAAAAGGGATGAAATAAAAAGGGAAGACTATTCATGATGCTGGGGACCCATGTTTCTATGTTTGGAATCTATAATTGAGAATGAATATGAAAAAGGACGAATTCGCAGAATGGATGGTGCTAATTAGCAGATTAGGTGTTTTCCCCCAAAACCAGGAGGAGGATAGGCTGCTTCGGCCAAAGACTCGAGAGGAATTCACAGTTAAATCAGCAACATTGATTCTTTTTAACTGAGGCCGAATTGGAGGGACGACTTTAGGAGAAAAAACTCCTGAAAAGTCAAGTTCTTTCGTGAACCTTAGCATACCGAAGCATGAACACCCAATAAAAGCTACAAAAGAACCTACACCATATGCTTTGTCCTCAATCCAATCCAAATTGCCTTGGGAGTGATGAGCCCGTAGATGATAGACCATCTTTTATTAGCTGGTTTTTTGGTGACTGGTGTGGGTTCAGAATTGGAACTTGTTTAACTTGAGCAGGTGCTTCCACAAAGGTATCACGATTGTTTTTCCTGAAATTATCTCAGGCTGAAGGTTAAAAAGAAAGGCTAAAACCCTTTGTTTTTAATATCATCTTCAAACAGATGTCTATGGAGAAAGGGGAAGAAGGTTTTTGAATATCTCTACAAATCATTTGAGATGAGTTGATATGAACCGATACATCTCAATCATGTAATATGAACTTCAAGGAAGATGTGAAAAAATATTGTTCAAATTGCCCCAAGATAAACTCGAGTTGCAATTCATGTCATATTAAAGAAGAATCAAGCTTCATTTATTCTTGAATGTTTATAAATTTTGGGAGGATAATAATCTAGAGTTATGGTATTTCATTAAAGTATTTTAAGAC